TTATTTGAATAATTGATTTTATTTCAGAATATCTTGTACGAGCTAATTGTATACATATTTTTAATAATTCTTGTGTACAAGAAGCTCCTCCAATTTTCAGAATATTACAAAATTTACCATTTTCATCACAAATAATAGTAATTTTTTCATCAGCTATAGATTCCTCTATTTCAGTTGGATCTGCTAACAAATATTTACTAAAAATGTAAAAATAATAAAATGTTAGAGATAAATTTTTTTTGGGGGAGTCAGTCATATAAATATATATATTATTAATTAATGACTTGCCCATCAAATATACTAAATGTTGCAGAATAAGGTAATCTTTCAAAATTCAACATAATTTCACGTTCTTCTGTAGCTTTAACCATTCCATCTTCATAAGTTGCTTTTCGGAGTTTTACTAAATAATCATTATCGTTATTACACTATTAACGTTTACATTAATTGATCTCACAAGTTAATTTTCCCAACACTTACAATTATTTAATGCAGTGATAAAGGCTATTACACACGCATCAAAAATATTTCCATCGTAGTTAATGCATACAAGATCTGCATACAAAACCCATACGGCCTTACTTTCTTCAATACATAAACATTCCAAATCTAATATTGATGACCTTTTTCAAAAAAAAAAAAAAAAACATGTAAAATCTTTTAAATTTTTCTAAACTCTATCAAAAATTTTCTTTGCTTGCTTACTCTTTTACAAGTCTGTATAAACTTTCACAAAGTACTTGTGCTTGTTCACTTGGTGGTCCAGGTTTAAATTTTGGTGAACAAACCGGTGAAAGTTCAACATTTGGAACTATTATAATAAAAAACCAATATCAATTGATTGTCCATCCATCATCCATCCATCCATCCATCCATCTATAAATCAAATTATGTAAAAAAAAGGAAAGATATGTACCTAGATAGCCTTCACGAGGAGTATCAAATTTAGGTTCTGCTACTTCAGCTTTTATACCACAAACTACTGTTGTATTACCAATACGAATCATCGAAGATCCATCTGCTGTTGTTATACATCCTATTTGTTTTTTTAATTATAAGATCATTATATATTTATATGTATCTATATATCTATATATATATATATAAGCTTTGATTTATCTTTACCTAAGTTAATGTTAGTTTTACGAAAAGCATTAAAAGATCTGCCATCAGGTCTAATATTTTGTTGTACAAATTTTCTTAAATATTCTTGAGGTTGTATTCTACGAAATGTATCTGCTCCAAAAGCAAACTGAGCTTTAGAGGCT